CCCGCACCGGCGGTACTTCCGCCTCTGCCTTGCACCCGACGCTGTTTGAAGACGAGCTTCCGGCGGCCCACCTGCAATGGGAGAGGGAGGGGGAGGACGGAGGGGACGCGGTCTTTGCTGGCGCTGGACTGAATCTCGCTGGGCCACGGGCCCCCGCATGTTATGCCACTGGGTGACGGCCCCCCCATGCTACGCCCCAGGTGACGGGCCCCCCCTGGCCGCGGCCCTCGGGCAGTGCACTTCTTCGCTGGGCCCCCCCAAGTGGCGGAACTACCAGGGCCCGGTCGCAATTGCGACCGCTGCGACCCTGGTAGTTCCGCCAGTGGTGAGCCAGTTTTTGCCTTATGGTTGACTTGTTATCATCATGTAAAAAATGTAAATTTGAGAGGAAGTCTGAGGATTTAGCATTGCTGAAATTAACATTTCTATTCCATAGTTATATTAAGGAAAGAATACAGGAAGCAAAATGGCGTTTTTGTTTGCGCCTGGGTTTCAGGCTGAAAATCAGAATTTGTGTGAAAGAAATGTAGAATAGTTAAGGCAGGGTGTGACAAATTTTCTTTGAATCCAGCTTCAAGTTAGGAGCCGTTTTTTTTCCACAAGGCAAGTTTGCGGGGGTCTGGTTGACTTTCATTTTCCTTTTTTTATTTTGATTTTTTTTTTGGTATTTTTCATTTTATTTTAAACTTTTTATTTTTTATTTTTTCCTCATTGGAGATGACAATTTCTCTCTAAGGTGACATTAGGGGTCTATTAGACCCCATAGCGTCACCTTTCCACTTTAATAGCTTTATTTGGGGAATAGCAGCTGTAAACGCAGCAGGCAGTGGCTGGGAGCAATAGCCAACCTGTTATTGGCTATTTCAAATTGCAATGACAGAGTTTATTTCGGCGGCGGTGGGGAAGAAACTGGGCTGACAAAAACCCAGTTGCCAGGACGCAATTTCTAGTCGCATTGGCGACCTGGCTCCCAGGTTTTTTCGAGTCCTGAGTTAAGGGATATAGAATGTTTAGTATGAATACAAAATTTTACTTTCAGAGGGAAGTTTAGTTATTAAGTTCCCCCTTGGACTTTGGCAAGAAGGCCCAGGGTACCGACTATGAATATGGCTTCTTTGTCGAAGAGAATGACTCTTAATTCCCGGAAAGCTGTGCCACACATGCACAATGTAATCTGCTATACCTAACCTAAGCCATATTCTCACATCTGCACAATAAATATCATAATATGGTCATACATGTGTAGTATGGCTTCAAAATCGGAAGCGCTGAATGGCTTATTTGCGCGATCCTTAAAGGCCGCAAGCAATATGAGGGCAAAATTCTGTCAATGTGCACAAGTGACCACCCTGTACTGCCACTATTGCACACGTGCAGAATCTCTCTGCCATATAGTGATGTCAGAAATATGCCTGTGAGATCTGGCACATGAATGCTGGCAACCTCAGATCATACGCTACTGCACATGTACTATATACAGCAGCCATATTGAGGGGCCTGCACAAATGTGATAGTTTCAGGGATCCTCCCAGGTGTGGTTTCAGACCATGACTCATGGCACTTGTCCGTCACTTACAGGACTCCTTCCAGCACTTCTTTTATGTCTGCCTCCTCCCCACCTAGCTGCTGTAATGAAGGAGAAGGACAAGCATAGGAAAAAGAGCTGGTAGGCTGAAGTTTAGGAAGTGTATCCTCTGCTTTCAAAACAATGCCACCCCCACCACTCTGTTGCATACCCACCCACTTACTCCTCCTCTTCCCTGCTCCCTGTTTCCGGCTTCAATCTTACCACTCAGCCAACCTCCCTTTCTCACTGCTCACCTAATTGGCTAGAGTTTCACTTTTTCCGCTCCATTTCTTTAACAGGTTATTAAACACCTATAATGATGTGAGTGAGCTTGTGGTGGAGGAGTGTGCCAACATCAGAGCCTTTAGTTTGCCAGTTAATATACATGAAATGTTTGCCATATTTATCTATCAATTCTATAATTGTCCTTCTTGATTACATTTTCCTCTTTCAGGGAGATTTCAGCAGAGTCTGAAAGGGAAACCCAGCAGCTTCAGAATTATTGGTCAGATGTCCGGTACATGATCCGCTGCATATATCGCCAAGCTGGGACGCCGCTGGCAGATGACCAGGACCAGTCACTAGTGCCAGAGAAAGATGGAATGAAGGATTTGGTGGATAGGTAATCATCTATCCTATGATAGATTGGACACATAATTTCGTATTCTTAAAGAACCCCAATCAATAAACTAACACCTATGTTCTGTGCATTTTTATTTTTTAACAGCTACAAGAGTTTTATGAATTGATGTGAAGCATTTGTGTGGGTTTCTTATTTAGCTGGGAGATGAAAGCACTATTATATTTACATGCATTAAATGTTGTGGTGGGGGGTCTGCTGTTCATAATATAGAGAAGCAGAATTATCCTAATTATTTATTATTCCAAAGCTACCAGAACGGAGAAGCAGTTTGATATTTAGTGGTTCAGCAGAAAACTGTCAGAAAACTGCAAAGGCAATTGAACGAGTGAGCATTCCTTTTGACTGGCAGTAAGCAGAGCAGTTTTCACATGTGCCCCAGACACATTAAGGGCTCTTGGTGCAAACCAAGAAAGACCTCCACACTGCAATGACCTCAGCAATTGTAAAAACGTAATTATTCCAGATACGAATCACATACAGGAGGTCCGCCCCAGAGACCTCTGTACACTGATGTGTTTTACACAACAAAGGCTTAGTTTAGCCCTTGTCTGAAATGTGACAGTGAGGAGTAGGGCTGCAATAACTAATCAACGAAGTTGTCAACTTTTTCAATCATCCATTAATCGGCTTCCGATCAGTTGGCCTTGTTCACAGCTCCACACATGCTGCACACCACACCTCCTCCCCACCCTCAGCGCTGCCAGACCCGCCCGCATCCACGCTCCACACGCCTCACTGCCCGCCCACATTTACGATCAGGCACAGGGACGCGGGGAGAAGTAAGGAGGAGCAGGTGTGGGGGGATGACAGCCTGCACTTTCCCACATATGGTGCTCTATAATGTATTGCTGGGATTTGTATTCCTCTATAGCTGATGGTACATTGTGCTGTATATTATACAGAGCAATGTACCATCAGCTATAGAGGAATACAAATCCCAGCAATACATTATACACTATGTGTAATGTATTGCTGGGATTTGTTGTATTCCTCTATAGCTGGTGGTATTCTGCATTGTGCTGTATAAAGGACTACAAAACCCAGTTATAGTACATTATACAGCGCGATACAGAATACCACCAGCTATAGAGGACTACAAAACCCAGCAATAGTACATTATACAGCGCAATGCAGAATACCGCCAGCTATAATGTACTATTGCTAGGATTTATTGTATTTCTCTATGGCTGGTGGTATTCTGCATTGTGCTGTATAATGTACCATTGCTGGGATTTGTAGTTCTCTATAGCCGGTGCCATTCTGCATTCATTGCTGTATAATTTGACACTTTTTTTCCATTCTATTACACACCACAAGTAATCTTCCAGGACAGCATCTGAGAGATAGTCTCCTCCCACCTGAAACAGCAAACACATCACATACACCAAATAAAAGGGCGCTTACCCGCAGCATACCTCAGTTATTTGTGTTTCCTTGGCCTAACAGGAGCATGGGGATATTTTGTTATTTTTTTCTGTATAGGCCTGCGTGCATGTGGCAGGGGCCTACTGCTCATGGTATCTCCTTTTGGGGCCAGCGGCCTTGGGGATACCTGTACAAGATCCATAGGGCAGTCCCCATCCTGTCTTACCCTTAGGGGTGAATTGGCCCTGAGGTTTCTCTCTTTTAAGAGGGCAACCATCCTCCTTTTGTGACGGCTCCAGCTGAGCTTTTCCCAGCTAGCCGGGGTGTAGCTGCCCTCGAGAGGGACTCTGACGGTCTGATGGATTAGGCAATAACCTCTTGGCACACCTGCAGGTTTCCTCAGAGTGGGTGTGAGCCCGGCTGCCATTGGCCTCATACCACACCCCATCCGCATTTGTTACTCACGTTTCGTGTGCGGCAGGGTACCGGTAGCAGTGGGGAGCCTCGCGTGGGCCGCGGTTCGTACCATTCGGGGCTATCCCTATGCCGGCAGAGGCGCACAGGAATGATGTCAGACGCCGCCGGCGGAAATGGCGTCGGACGATCAGAGGTCGGGGGTGGTACTGCAAGTGGAGACTGGAAATTATGTCAGGTGACGCATTTCCAGTCCGGCCATAGGGATGTGTTCTGCTCGGCCATGCCACAAATCAGACCCTGGAGAGAGGGAGAGCTACCCGGCTGAGGACCTTGTGGCACCAAACAAGGAGGGAGCAATCGGAGCGGGGGGCAGAGAGCGTAGAGCTTCGCATTGGTCAGCGACCATGCCGGCAGACTCTGCAACAGTTGCTGCACCCACTGATCAGGGAGAACCCTCTGCAGCCAGCTCTAAGGTAGGCAGGTGCATGGCACTTTAAACTACCCTGTACCTTTTGGCGGTGGGGCCCCTTGGGGCAAGGGTACACTGAGGGGGCATAGTGGCAGATCCTGCCCTGCCAGGACCCTTCAGAGTTTTGCCCAGCAGGTATTCAGAGAGCGGGACCAGTCGTGACACCGTAAAATCCGGGGATACTTCCTCCAATTCGGAGGAGGACGAATCTGCGGAAGAAGGGGAGGTCAGGGCTTCCAGATTTCTTTTTCCAGCATCAGACACTAACGAGTTACTCAAAGCGTTCTGGGAAACCCTGGGAATCGGAGGAAGACAGAGGTCTTCGGACAAAAAGAAGGGGTTTCCCCTTGCAAACAAGCAACCCAGGAACCTCTTGAGGACAACTTGCCCGAACGAACAAAAGGGGTAAATAGCAGGACCAGGGTAAAAAATTGACTTTTAAGAGGGGTAAAGGCAAAAGTGGGTTTCGTTTTCCCCCCGCCCAGGCCCAAGCAAAGCCCCAATGACTGCCCGGCTTTGGTGGGGGGGAAGACTCAAACTGTTCCTCCCTCAGTGGCAGGAGGTCACGCACAATGGTTTAGTCTTAAACCTGATCCAGTGGTGTTACAGGATAGAGTTATTGAAAACAGCCCCTGCCAGTTTTCTCATAACATTTCTTTCAAAAAAACCTAGAAAAGGCCCAAACGATGATCCTAGCTTTGCAGAACCTTATGAACCAGTAAGTAATCTGCCCGGTACCAGAAGGGGAACGGGGCACGGGATGCTACTCCCACCTCTTTGTTAGGAGAAAGCCCTCAGGCAAAGCCAGGTTAATCCTCAATTTGAAACCCTTGAACAGAGTGGTTCGATACAAGTGGTTCGATTTACTCGGTGAGAAGCCTCTTGTCCCCGCTAGTGTTTCTAGCGAAAATAGACTTAAAGGATGCTTATCTCCATATACCAATCAGGGAGCAGTCGCAGCAACTCCTCAGGTTTGCGATAAAAGGACCCCACTGGACGGTCTCACTATCGGTACAAAGCTCTCCCTTTCGGGCTTTCTTCTGCGCCGAGACTTTTTACATAGGTGCTGGCGGAGGCCCTTGCTCCACTGAGACTTCAGGGGATCGAAATTATCCCTTACCTGGATAACCTGTTGTTCTTCAGCCACTCTCAGGAGACCCTCAGGGGGAACTTGGAACTGGCCGTTGCACACTTACAGGGTCTGGGCTGGCTGATCAATGGGGAGAAATCCCAACTTCAGCCAACGCGGGAGATTATTTTCCCGGGGTACCGGATAGTTTCTTCGGTATGGCGGCTGTTCCTCCCAGAGGAGAAAAGGGAAAGAATAGCGGAGTTGACACTGTCCCTGTATCTGTCCTACGGGGTGCCCTTCAGAGTAATAATGTGTCTCCTGGGTCTTATGACTTCGGCAATCCTAGCAGTGTCTTGGGCCCAGCTCCATTCAAGAACGCCTCAGGCTTTTCTTTTGCAGAATTGGGGCGGTGAACAAGAGACGCTGGACGAGGATATTCAGATCCCGGGTCAGGTAAAGACATCTCTCACCTGGTGGTTGGAGAGGCAAAATCTGGACAGGGGCAGGCTGAGGGGAGTGCCGCAGCAAGTGACAATCACCACAGACGCCAGTGCCTGGGGCTGGGGTTCCCACTGGGGGGAGCACTTAGCCCAGGGAAGGTGGAACCCGATTGGCGTCGGAAATCCTCCAACGTCCGAGAACTAAAAGCGATCGGCCTGGCCTTGGCCAAATTCGAGGCCGGAATTTAGTGGTTCTCACGTGGCAGTCCGGTCAGACAATGCCACGGCGGTTGCCTATATAAACAGGCAGGAAGGCACGAGGTCGTGGCCTCTGCTGGCCCTGACACTAGAGATTCTGGCCTGGGCGGAACTCAAACTTTTATCCCTCACTGCGGTTCATCTAAATGGTTCTCTCAACTCCTTGGCCGACTTCCTAAGCAGGAAACGCATTCGCCCGTCGAAATGGGCACTGAACGACCATACGTTCCAGAGGCTAAGGAGGAAGTGGGGGACCCCAGATGTAGACCTATTTGCAACCAGGGAAAACAGGAAGGTAGAAGTATTCTTTTCCCTGTGTCCAGGCGATGAAGCCCTGGGAGTGTACGCGTTTGCCCACCCCTGGGCTTTTGCGCTGGTGTACGCTTTTCCCCCGGTGAGGCTGCTACCCAGAGTCCTATCAAAGATAGTACAGGAGCAGGTGACCCTCATCCTGGTGGCACCTTGGTGGCCAAAGAGACCTTGGTTCGCGACTCTTCGCAACCTCAGTGTGGAACCTCCTTGGATTCTGCCGATGATCCCGGACTTGCTGTCCCAGGGCCCAGTATGGCACCCTCATCCAGATACCCTCAAGCTGGCAGCTTGGATTCTGAGAGGGAGATCCTACTAAACAAAGGGCTTTCAGACAAAGTCATAGCCACTCTGCTTACTAGTAGGAAACCAACTACTACCACGATTTACAACAAGGTCTGGAAGACTTTCTCTTCCTGGATGCTCCTTAACAGAATGAGGGGTAAAACTGTTGTTGTGGCGGTGTTGGAATTTTTACGGAGGGGGCAGATATGAACTTGTCATGTAGTACGCTAAAGTTACAAGTGGCTGCACTTTCAGTATACTTGGAGACTGGCTGAGGAACCCCTGATTAAAAGGTTCCTGAAGGCCACGGCCTGGCACAGACCACCACCGGTTATGGGCTATCCCTCTTGGGATCTGTCAGTGGTACTCCAAAGCTTCCTTGGGGCCCCCTTTGAGCCTATTGCAGACTGCTTGATAAAACTTCTCACTGTAAAAGTGGCTCTGCTGATAGCGTTTGTATCAGCCAGAAGGGTGAAAGCGAGATCCATGCTTTCTCCATGGCAAAACCTTATTGCATTATTCATGCAGACAGAATCATCCTCAAGCCAGATCCGGGGTTCCTGCCAAAGGCGGCTTCCACCTTTCATCGCACCCAGGAGGTAGTTATTCCTTCCTTCCACCCTAACCCAGTTACATCGGAGGAAGAAGAGAATGATGGGCATTGATGTCAGGAGATGCGTTCAGGAGTATTTGGACAAAACCAGCAGCTGGAGGAAGTCCAATAAGCTATTACTCCTGTTTTTCAGGCGCAAAAAAGGGCCTGATGGCATTTAAGGGTACTATAGCCAGATGGATAAAACTGGCGATATCGGAAGCATATAGGCTTCAGGGTTTGACGGCGCACTCTACCAGGGCCTGGGCTTCATCAGTGGCTGAAAGAGCAGGGGTGACCCCAGATCAAATCTGTCTGGCAGCGACTTGGACCAGCTTTCAAACTTTCATCAAACACTACCGTATGGATGTGATTGCTAGGGAAGACCAAGATTTTGGTAGGAAGGTCCTGCAAGCGGTTAGCCCACCCTAAACCATGTGAGTATAGGTTCTTGCCTATTCTCTTAGATGCTGTCCTGGAAGATTACTTGGGAAAAACCTGAGTTAGTTACCTGGTAACTCGGTTTCCAGGAATCTTCCAGGACAGCATGGTTCCCACCCTTGGGAATGTGTTTATGTCTACGCTTATGTGTATCCTTCGGTTCTATTAAATTAACTGAGGTATGCTGGGGGTAAGCGCCCTTTTATTTGGTGTATGTGATGTGTTTCCTGTTTCAGGTGGGAGGAGACTACCTCTCAGATGCTGTCCTGGAAGATTCCTGGAAACCGAGTTACCAGGTGTACCAACTCCAGTTTTTTTTTCTTCTTTTTTTACTTCCACCGCTCCAAGCTTGCTCCTGATGGGACTACTAGTTTGTATTGAGATTGTAGTCCCATCACTGGAGCCTAAAAATCTGTTTTTTTTTTTTATCCGATTTAACCGAACTTAATAATCGGCTAACTAATCGATTTTGAAAATAATCGTTAGCTGCAGCTCTAGTGAGGAGGTCTTTGGACTGACCTTCTGTGATATCTGTATAAAAGATGTTTTTACAATTGCCGATGACATCGGAGTGCGGCAGGCTTTCTTGGTATGCATGTCCTTGGGAGCAGAGATGAGCCAAAACCTGTCTCCATAGGTACATGCAGGCTGTGAGTGTCAAACCTAACTGCAGCAACTTGCAGATCCAGGAACCCTGTCAAAGGAATCTCTCCTTAGTTCGCCAGCATCTATCCTAAACTGGAGCCAGGATAGTGAAGAACTTTTTTTTGTCTAAGGAAATTTATCTGTGACCTTTCCCTTGCAGGTTGTGTGAAAGAGACCCTTATCAGCTATATCAACGCTTAGAGCAGCAAGCACGGGAGTATGTCCTGGAAATGAAAGTCCGTCTGCTCAAGCACTTGTCTCTAGGCTTCAAGGTGACCCCCAGCATTCAGGGGCCTCCCCAAGCCCATCAGTTTATCTCCCTTCTCCTAGAAGAATACAGTGCCCTTTGTCAGGCAGCATGCACCATCGGCACCTTTCTCGTCACTTTGGTAAGGACACAACGACTCTCCCTTTTACACAGATGAACATCAGTGTGCTATTGATGACAGGCAATGTCTTTCAAGAGTTTCATTTCCTGTTTTTTTTTTTTTGTAGGAAAACGAACATTTGAAGAAGTTTCAAGTGACGTGGGAATTGCACAACAAGCATCTGTTTGAAAATTTAGTATTTTCTGATCCGTTACTCCAAAATAGTTTACCGACACTAGTTTCACAGTTGAGGTATAACTGTAATTTCCTTTAATAATGTTTGTGTATGTGTTACCCATAGGTATCAGGCTATGTTCACACCTGCACTACACTGCACAACACCTGGGACGCGCGTCCCGGGATTGCGCGCTCCTGCACAATGCAGGCCGCAATTGCCGCGCAGCCCCATTGATTTCAATGGGATGACATCCGCATGGCAATCACAGAAAAAAGGTACATTTACCTTTTTTTTTTTTTTTGCGATACTCGACGCGCAATTGTGTTTGGAAGCGCGGGCGGCATCGCAGCAGTAAACCGCACGATTTGTCCGGCGCAACTGGGGCGCCATTAGAAAATAACGGCACCCACAGCGCGATCGGTTCACATCTTAGCGACTCCTGACCGTGTGGCCTCGTGAACCTAGCCTGAGTCAGATTCCTACTGTTTTTTTGGTTTTTTTTTTCTCGTTTTTATTTTTTTTCTCTTTTTTTTTTGGTAGTGTAAGGTAAGAGCTTTTGCTTTACCTGTAGACTTATCCAATCCCCTCTTGAATCTCTTGAGAATTTTAAGAGAAAGATGTGTTTGTATGTTTTTCCATGCAGCTGTAGCTAAGCCCCCAAGTGTCCATATTTTTTTCTTTTTTAATGTATGTTGATAGGCAGTTACCGTAGGAAAAATGGCAGATACTCAGTATCTGGAAGGATGTCTTTTTGTGGAAAGTCAAAACTTGGCCAAGCACCAGCTCCTGCGACCTTCCGCCTACTGCACGCCAGTTTAGATGCATTCAAATTGGTTGCGGAATTACCTAGGATGTGGTGTTTCCTGAAAACCTGGTAAGCACTAGGAAACAATTGGGGAGCCCAAAGGGTGCAACAGAAGCACTTTGAAGATTGTAACTATGCTCACTCTGCAGTCATTAGAAGGCACACACACCCTTCCGAAAGTGTCAGGTTCCTGATCCCGCTTTGTGCTCTGTCCTGTATTGATGTAGGGGTCCAGGAAGGAAACCAAAACCACGAAGTTGTGATGGAGGGACCATCAGAAGGGAACGCAGCACCCAGTATGCTAGTCTTCATAAGAGCAGATCTTATTTTTACCGGCAGATCTTTTTTTGCTTTTTCCCTTTTTAAACTGACAGAATAATTTCGCTATGGGTCCTCTTTACTTTAACATGCCCAAAATGTTGCCAGCTGTATCCGTTTAATATCGGAACGTACTCCTAGTCTGCAAGATGGGCCAAAAAGCCTTTTAGTAGGTTTTTATTGGATTCTTTTGTGTGTCTCGAGCTACTTACTCATGTCTATTTTCTCAGTTGTTCACTAGTTGTCAGACTCTTTACAAATGCTAGTCAATAGCTTGTGTGTTTTTCCCTAGGCTTGGAACAGCATCACATGACTCGTACAGTGAAGATATGTATAGTACCTTACTACAAAGGTACCTTCAGCTGGAACAAGAAATGGGTCAAATTGCTGAAGAGTGGCTGGAGTGTCAGAAAAGAATTGATAACTATGTAGATGAACAGGTAAGTGCTGTGTGTATGCAGCGTTTACCAGCCAGCTTTTGCACCTTGTGTGTCTTTTTGGTTCCATTTGGTGTAGGCGGTGGAAGTCTCTTAGCAGGGACTCAAACTACCTTTCTGAACCACTACTGAACTTTACCTTTTTTTACAACCTTTGCACACCACCATACTTATCCAATAGTATTTGATTACACATTTTAATTCTAATCTGCCAATTTGAGACCTAACTAGCACGCACACTCTAAATTGGAGATATCAACACGTCCTCTTTATGATGCAGGAAATACACACTGTCCTGAGTGGTCCAGGGCTTACTAACTGTGCAATATGCTGTGATCAACTGAATGTGGACATTGTTTGGAAGACTGCAGCCCTGGCATGTGGTAAAGGATGTATGGAGAAAACACCAGCACTCAAAGTTTTAAGACGTCCAGAAATGCGTTTAAGCATTTATTGTCACATGCGTCAAAGACAGCCCTGGCTGTCTTTGACACATGTGACAATCCTTAAATGCATTTCCTGACGTCTTCAAACTTTGAGTGCCGGTGCTTTCTCCATACATCCTTGAGTATGCATGGTGCCATCCGTGACATCACTTCCTGCACCACATCTACCATATGGTCCATATACGCTGTATAGAGTGCAGGTGGATACATCCTAATGCTACTGTCTGTGGTAAGTTCCCTATTCATAAAAATATCTGCCACACAGGGCCAAACAGTTCTTGGTACAAACATGTGACTCATATCTTCCTTCATGCTTGTGTGCTAATATCTCGAGGGAGCTGCCCTGACTTTTTAAGATCTAGATATGGCTAAGACCCTGTACAAAATATAATTGACTAACCTGCAATCTACAGGCAGTGTTGCCCCTGCCGTATTTTAATCTTCTACCCATAGCAATGTTACCCCTCAGTAGAACAGGCACCAATAAATGGGAAAAAAAATGTTTATTGCAATTTAAAATTTGTTTTAGATGGCTTTGAAAACCAAACACAGAATGCTTAAAGAAGATTGGGAATTCTATAGACAAAGGCTGTTTATTGAAGAACAAGTAAGAAAACAACCCACTACTTCCAATGTGCTTCAGATCTATCAGAGTGAAATCCTGTATGGAGGGGATATTTAAAGGGTCAAACTAGCCAGTATGGAGTTTTTGATTTATGGATAGATCTAGGTGGGATGAAACATTCACTGGTGGCTTTTATTGCCTGGGAATCCAGCATTAGGTTGGCTTTTCTCTATCTTACAATGTAATCTCTTCTGCAGCATTCTCTGTGATAAAAACTAATAGCATTAGACTATTGATGGGTTTTGTTGATTGGCAGAGCTATCAATTCCGTTGCAGACAGATATTACAAACCTTTTGTGTGATTCATCCCACCATGCTCTGCTTGGATCTGAAATGCCAGTTTTGGCTAGTTTGATGCTTTAATGATTTTTACATGCTGTGCGAGTTATTTATTTTCTGCTCTTAATTATCTGATAATGACATTTTTTGTTTTACTTTCATTTGCTTTATTGGCATTAATTAAGTCTTCTTTGCTTGATGGACATTAAATTTGGTGCTTAATCTCTGTCTAATAACTGCTATTATAACAAGGGAGTGACCAAAGCTCTACCCTGCCAATCATACTTGCTGTATTGATCTGATTTGGAATGTGCATAGTTTCTTTACAAATATCCGGCTGCATCTAGATTTCATTTCAATGTTTTTTGTGTCTCATTTGGGTCAGGAATGAGGTGCACACATTTATTTTTCTCCCACTAAAGAGTTGAAGCAGTACTTGTAGTTTTCTGCTTTGACTTTCTGCTCCTATTGATTTTTATTTTTTCATTTATCACAAACCTATATTGAGTACTTTGGTAATACTGGGGTGGTTAGAATTCATAACGGGAACCTGCACTCATCTTATGCTCTCCATCAAGACTCAGACCTGAAAACTGGTCTATTATTTCCCTATGAGTGCCATCAGCTTGGACTATGGTATCCTGCAGCGCTCTGTTGATCAGGAAATGTCAAGGTTCTTGTTGCACTCCTTAATGGAAATCCCAGATAATGGGGAGGGTGCTTGAAATGACTGCAGATGGCACCTCTGTGTGCGTAGAATAATTGTAAAGAATGTCACCAGCACTCCGAAGATCCTTATAGAATTGCCAAACATTGATCGGTATCAAAGCCTGATGAAGGGGCCCTGCGATGTCCCGAAAGCGCTTGTTTCCATTTGACTAATTGTTCAATAAAATGAACATTTAATGATTCTATGAGGATCTTCGGAGCGCTGGTGACATTCTTTACAATTATTCTCTGTTGATCAGCCACACATCACACCTTCCTGCCAGGGGCAATATGTGGGATGGAATGAGTGAAAGCACCAAATGCTTACCGGAGTTCCCTGGGTTATCCTGACCCTATTAACTATTATGAAATTGAACAAGTGTCTAAAAAAAAAATGGTTTCCACATAAAATTCTACCAGGCTATACTTTATACTCTCTATACTATATTATCTCTACAACTAAGCCAGTGATTGGGTTAGAGAGGGCGGACCTTGGCCGGGACGCCAGTGATGTGGTACATGCTTCAATAAACTATTCTGGCGGAATCCGGTCTGTCGCCAGCTTTTCTTCTGTTTGTTTGGACTCGTATAGGAGCGAGAACATGCTCCCAGCAACAAGCACCCGACTCATTCCTTCCCTGAGCCGTGGAGGAGCGGTGCTACTTTTGAGTGTTCTCCAGACTATACTATATAGCTTAAGGCTTTTAAGTTCATTTGTTATAGCCTATAGAGGACTTAAAGTTTCTAAAGCTAAAATCTGAATCGCTGTCCAGACAAGAGTTAAAAAAAAAAATGTGAAGCAAAGTGTGGCTATTCCTTCTCCCAGCATTGATCACTAATCGCCAATAATCTCACCTTTTTATTATTTTTCACAGCTCAGCGACCTAACTCCCACAATGTATGTTGTTTTCTTATCTCATGTTTCTGTGTGATGTAGAAACTGAGATACAGATTTTGATAGTTCCTTCCCGACCAATGGTCTCTTAATTGGAAGCTCTTATGTCACAGTCTCTGCACTTTCCAGACACACACGAGGTCACAGGAACGCAAGGCGAGGGGCACGCTGTGACAGGAATCAGCACAGACACGAGAATTGGAGGTGGAACCTTGTTTTGTGTTGGGAAAGTGCAGAAACAGTGAGATACAAGCTGCCAATCAAGAGGTAGTCTCCTTTTACGGTGGTTGGGAGTGAAGAGGATGATCTGTCAAGGTCTGTATCTCAGTTTCTACTGCGCCCAGAAACATGGGATAAAAAGTAACATACATTGTGGGAGTAAGATGATTGAGGTGTCAAAAGTAATACAGGATGAGATTATTGGGCTGTGATCTGGCTGTGTCTGTGTGAAAAGGAATGGTCACGATTTGCTTAATTTTATTTTTATTTAAGATAAAATTATTTTATTTATTTTATTATTACTGTTCCGAAACAACGCTCTGATGTGACACCTTTTTGAAGTGAAATTAACATTGACTTTTCTACATGCTGGAGTGCTTGTGACCTTTTTTGTATTTTTTGGTGGAAAAGGAATGGTCACGCTTTGCTTAATTTATTATTTAAGTTTTGTTTGAGGAATCCTCTTTCTAAAAGCTGGCAGGAGTCATTCAATTAATATGGGCTCTTTCCTCCTCTCTCCATACCTGCTATAGTGTATCTATTCACTCTTGGAAAGTTGCCTTTATTATTATTCTTGCCTTTAGTGATGACTAGAAGAGTAAAGCAGTTGCTAAAATATTGACCCCCACAGGCATCTTTTCATTGCTTGAGCTTGTAGGCACTCAGCGTTTGTCAACCAAAGTAACACCCTTCTGCCAGGATCACCATAGATACAAAGAGCATTCTATTGTTTTATCTGGTGCTAACGAATCTGTACTTTACGGTAACAAGCTCAGAAGGTTGTGATAATGTGTAAATATATAAACAATGACACCAATTCTACTGCTGATGGGAAAAAGTGTGTGTGCCTTTTGTAGAGTGTGTGTGTGACCAGGGCTGTTACTGGAAGGGTGAAGATTGTCTTGTAAGTCCCAGGTATAACATGGTTATACACAAGTGGCTGTTGAGCTGGATTTATAACGATGAACAAAGGCAAAGCCTTACCTTGCTTTTTTTTTTCCCTCCCCTTCTTTCTCTCTTTAAAGTTAAACAACAAGAAAGCATTGAGTGGCGAGAACAACTTTGCTGATAAAATGAGGCACATGTTATCTACCAGAATGTGTATGTCTGACTGTCCAAACTGTAATTACCGGAGAAGGTGAGTGTATGAACACCGTCATGCTCTCAATGTATGCTATGTGTTTTAAAGTGTATCTAAACCCAGAAGCAAACATTCTACATGTTGCAGCTTACCAATTTTTAGATTTTGTGGCTGCATTAGTTTTTTCATTTGTAGGATTTTTTTGATCCAGATAGTATGTTTGTTATTTTTCAATTTTCTTTAACGGACCAAACACTCCGGGCCCTGTCACACCATCAAGAGTGCGTTCCAGTGCGGTCGGCTTCCGGAACGCAACCGGCCGACTCACTTTGTCTTGGGACGGGAGGGGGCATGGCAATGCATTGAATTCAATGGCACCGCAGCCATGCTCCCCATCTGCGGTGCGATCGCCTGCACCTGAACGCGTGGCACATTAAAATGCTGCATACACTATTTTTTGTAGATCGCACTGGACCGGAACACAGGCACTAAAGTGCAACGCGTTCGGGTGCCGACTATCACACCGTGGGTGGGGTGCGTGGCTGCGGTGACATTGAAGTCAATGCACTACAGAGCCCCCTCCTACCACGAAACTAAAGGAGCTGGCCGGGGTGCACTCTTAATGGTGTGACAGGGCCCTCCCCCAAAAGTAAAAGTTAAGGGGTTGACACAAACCATTTAACACTGACAGGTATGTTTATAATCAACTTTTATTTATATAAAATCTTCTTCCTAAAAGGAAAACACAACTTTTGCTATAACTGGTAAAAAATATATTTGCTGGAGCTCATATATTTAATTTGTTAGTCAAGTCAATCTAAATCTGCTAGTACATCTAACACTACCCTCCCCACAAGTTGGCAATGCTGCTGTCCAAGGTTGACTCCTCTGCTCCTCCATAGAGTGGAGCCACCCTAAGACAGGAAGTGTGTTACTGGCCCAAACAGCAGGTGGAACTAAAGTGAAACAAACCCTAAAAAGAAAATGAATGCAGTCACTACATCTATATATTAGTAGGCTGCAAGGTATAAAATATTTTTGTCTTTGGGTTTAGATTAACTTTATGCTTCCCATAGGCATCAGATAAAGTCAGAGCGATTACATTACGGAACGACTGAGGAAAACCTTTTATGCACCCTTGCTGAAAGTATTGCAAGTATGTGTGCGCTTCCCACATATCTTTCTGGAAATAGTGTGTAATAAAGGCATTTATTTAAAAAAAAACAACATTTAATTGTTAGTTTTAAAGGATGGTGGAGGCAACTATGGAAAGGCAGAGGTCATGGTGTTCTTTTAAAAACCAGCCAACAATCATTTAAAGAGAAACAGTCCCCAACGGGCATTTGTTATCTAAATCTCCATTCTTAAATAGTGACAATGCTACATTACCTCTCGGGGATTACTTGTGTTCCTTTCTCTGTCAGAAGAGTCAGGCCTGACCTCAGTGTGGTGAACCGCAATAAAGTGCACTGCTGGTAACACAGGAGCTGACTGAAAAGGCTTCCAGTCGGTTGCTAGGTAGAAATACAGAATTACCATGGACAGCATTACTAATCTTTCACAGGCAATATAGTGCTGCGAATATGATTTATTCCCCTGCGCAGGTCTTCTCTTTGTGTCTATATAGTATGTCTATATTTCTCTCTGTGTTTCATATATACAATTAGGGAATGTTTAAAGTGGAACTATATCCATACCTTTTGAAATGGCAACACACACACCTTTTAGAAATGTTTAGTAATGACAATCTACAAACACATACTTCTAGATAATTGCCGGCTTTGTATTCTTTGCATTCCTTATTTTTGTTTTCCTCCTCATTCTTCTCACAGTGGCCATTTTTACTAAGGGCAAATTACTAGATCTCCCTTTACTTCCTTCCTGGAACTCTGGCACATGTGACTAGGATATGTGACCATACAATTCATCTCAGGGGAGGAAAATGCCTTTCCCTGAGATCTTGTGAGATTACAGATGATTTCCCAGCAATGCTGTGCTGATGTAACCTTCCCAGGATGCATCACTTGGGCACATTACATCATTGTTTCATGGATGTAAGATTTCATATCAGCATGCAGAAGTGAATTTTTAGTGAAAGGGGGTAAAGGTTTGCTTTTAAAGCTTTTTTTCTTTTTTTTTCTTTTTTTTTTTAACCCCTTTGTGACTGACGACGTACAGTGTACGTCACCAGCATCGGGGCTGTTTAAACAGACTCCCGGTGACTTTTGCAGCCGGGACTCTGTTTAAACTTGTAGAGCCGACTGTCGGCAGGAAAACAAGATTGTGTCTTACCTGTAAATTTTTTGTTTTTTTGGAGTGACTTACAGGACACAGAACCGTCCCTTTTGTTTTCTGTGATCCTCTCTTCTGCTTGCTACAAAATTGAAGGTAGCTGCATAACCCATTGGTTCCCGAATGAACTACCTGTATCCTGTGATATTCTGCAAGAAATGGGTTTTGAAAACCCAAGTTAATTCACAGATCATTTTAGTAATGAATACTGATGAATATACACTGCCCAGCAAAGTATTTATTTAAATTTTTGCACAAGGGTATTGAAAAATGGATTTTTCAAATTGGTGTAAGGTTGAGAGTGGTGTGCCTCAGGGTTCTGTACTAGACTATTGGGGAAGTTGTAAATAGTCATGTTTCTGTGTTTGCAGATGATAAATAAAATGGGGGGGGAAGATACGTGCTTAGACATTATAACTAGAGTTGCACCAGTACCAGTTTTTCACTATCGAGTACGAGCCTTCTGAAGCCAGCTCCATGTTCCTCTGCGGCACTGGATGTGGTATTTGGGAGGGTATCTGAGCATTGGACGAGTATCGGTGTCGGTACATCCCTAATTATAACATTGCAGGAGGACCTAAATAAAATAGGGGAGTGGGCAACTATATGGCAGATGAGGTTTATTGTTAAAAATGTAAAGTAATGCATTTTGGTGTTAAAACAGGCAAGCGGAATACACATTAATGGGAACTCCACTAGGGAAGCCAGAAATAGAAAAAGATTTGGGGATCATAGCCGACCAGACTGAATAACAGCACGCAGTGCCAGGCTGTGGCAAGCAAAGCTAACAGAGTGCTGTCTTGCATTAAAAAGGGAATGAACTGTAGAGACAAAGCAATAATTTTGCCACTTTATAGATCGCTGGTTCGGCCTCATCGTGAGAATTTTGGTCACCAGTGCACAGAAAGGTAGCCCTGGAGCTGGAGAGAGTTAAGAGAAGGGCAACAAAACTATTTAAGGGGCTGGAGGACCAAAGCTATGAGACAAGGTTGCTAAATTTAAACTTGTTCACACTGGAAGTGAGGCGAGGGGAAAGGATTTTGATGTACAAAATGTTTAGTGGGGAAGGCAGCATGAGCAATACACTTTTAACTGCAAACTCCCTAACAAAGACGAGGCCACCACCTAAAATTAGTGGAGAAAAGATTTAACCACAAAGGGCATAGGGGCTTTTCAGTTAGAGCGGTTGGAGTCTGGAACTCTCTGCCACAAGAAGTGGTATCAGCAGAGCTTATTGATTCATTCAAAATCAATTAGATACCATCCTAAGGGACCGTACCATACAGGAGAACCAGGTACTCTTAAAACTAAGACCACACAGGGACTCGTACACACACACACCACACACACACACCACACACACCTTGATGGACCTGTGTCTTTATGCAACCTCAAATACTATGTAACTATATGTTTCAGAACAGCAGGCTCCAACTTTCTCAGATCGGCTTCCCTGAACTTCTTGTCCAGTACAAGATCATAAGGGAAAGTACTTTCTCCAGCAGCTGTCCATCTACAAGCTTGGAGAAGGAAACAGAAGAACGGCTTGCCTGACTGTGCCTGTGTTTGTAGAGACACACGAGGCCTAGTACACATAAGGGTGGCTCTACAGGGCCCTGCAAGTAAAAGGAGCCACCCTAAAACAGGGCTAGTGCTTTGGGACCAGCTGATTCTGCAGGAAACAGATTTTTGAACATGGGGTAGCCTCCATTGTAGGCGATGTAATAATTATTTGAATGGCTCACTAAAATCCTGTTGGTTTTTTTTTCTCCAACGCACGTACTTACATTACAACTGTGCAACACATGTTGGGTATCTCCATGTGCAGCAGAATGGAAGGAATAATTCTATAGTCATTATTTGTAGTGAACTCTTAAAGGAGAACTATGAGGCGAGTGTTTTTCACTCACCTCATAGTTCTAGCCGACCTATGACAGTGAGACTGTCCACAGGTCGGCTTAGTAGATCGGGAGGTGAGCGAACACATAGCGGCGTTTGCTCACCTCTCGATCCTGTCACGGCTCTCTGCCGTAACAGGCGAGGGGCTGGATCCCCCCCTCCCCGCTCCGATCCGCCAGCGCTGACTGGCGGAACGGACGGGGGAGGGGGTGGGTACAGCTGGCTCTGCCTCTAGATAGGCAGAGCCAGCTGTCAGTCACGCAGCTGGGCTAATCCCGGCACAATTGTCAGCAGCAGCTCGCGGTATCCTGAGCCTAGGGTGACGGGAGGACGCTAGTTTGTGTCCTCCCGTTACCCTAAGGAGAACTATGGGGAAAAGCCTTAACCCCATAGTTCTCTAAGTTGATGACATGTGAAGGCTTTTAAAGCGGTGACTATGGATAATTTAGGGTATCCTAGTTGGTCTCTGTCTCAGCTGCACACACTTTTGAGCCTTGTACTTGACTGAGTCAAATCTTATTTGACAGAACATTTTGTTTTTGTTTGCACTAAAATGAATTTGTAATTTGTATATTTTACTGTAAATGTGAATTTGATGAAAAGTTACTCTAATATTATGTGTCACATAAAATTGCAACTAGTATGTTGTTATTCCCTGGGCCCTCTGCTGTCAGTTTGAGGATTTTAAGTGCGTTTGTATGCAGTATTGTGCATTTTAGCATGTTTCGACAGCAAAAGAGGTAATGGAAGATTTCCTGTCACCATCTGTTCCAGTGGCAACTGTAAAATTTTGGATTTCCCATCGTCTTTTATGCCAGTAACAGTAGTCATCAAGACTAATTAGTGTCCTTTAATTCAGCTTCCCTGTGGGCTGTGTGGAGTGTTGCTGATTTAACACTTTTACAGTTGCAAATAATTTTCATGCACTATAGCTTGTTTACATGTATTTTATGGTTTCTTTCTGACAGGTGTACCTGTGATGACTGCAGCCTCTCGCACATCCTAACGTGTGGCATTATGGATACACCTATCTCGGATGATATCCATTTAAACCCGTTACCACCACTACAAGTAGACTCCACTCCAGACTACCTGTCAGAGATCCATCCTCCCAGCATATCCTCTGCTAGTTCAGGGTCCGGGCCCAGCTCTCCCATCACTATCCAGCAGCACCCCAGGCTGATTCTTGCAGACAATGGCTCTGCACCCACATTGTGAGTTGCTTTTTTGCCACCCTTTCTCAGCCTATCTTTCCACTATAAAACATTATGTAGTAATCTTTCTGACATGGCAAGCTCTTCTATGTTGGTAGATTTTAAAGTGTAAACTTGTAAATTGGGCCTGTTGTACTGTATATAATGGAAGACCAAACAAAATGTGGGGCCCACCTGGTATAGCAGTATCCAGACTCCAAGGTGGGCAGGAACATTGATCTTCACTCTGGAGAAGAAATCAGATGGTTCGGCCCACTAAATTCCCACCTGGAAATGATATAACTTATGCACAGATTGGCAGCAACTGGGCTAATGTGCTTTAATTATGATTTTTACTGAACGCATGCAATTATTAATGGTATATTCTAACTATTGAAGCAATGTGATCATCTTGATATGCTTTTACCATACATAGGTCCACTAATGGAACATTCCTACCAAAATTTTCAGTTTCTTCTGTTTTCAAAAACCCGATTATGGCATCAGAGTGTTACATGATGTAGAATGAGCAAATACTTCAGCTGTAGCAGTGTGACCCCTTTTCCATGGCTTTGCAGCAGGCCTTCACTTGGTTCTGGGTGCAGTTGACCTTAAATGAAACGTGATAACTGAAGGGGTTTCTCTTCTTTGCAGTGGTAGTGATGATGAAGATGGTACCCCTTTATCAGCAAAATTTGCTCATATTTATCCCTTGAACAACTATGATGATGCAGAGGTAGTCGCCAACATGAATGGAATTCACAGCGAACTCAACGGTGGCGGGGAGAATATGGCACTGAAAGACGAGGTGCCGTACTTTTATTGGCAGCATTTGTCACAGGTCTTGCGTTGTTTACAATGGAGATTCACATGTTATCTTGTTTTGTAGTCCCCTTCAGTGAGCAGTACAAGCAGTAGCTCCTCGGAGGCGGATGATGAGGAGGCAGATGGAGAGAGTGGTGGCGAGCAGCCTGATGTGCCCAAGGATGAAATTCATGTTGGGAAGAGGTCGCCTAGGAAAGATGGTGTAAAAATGGACAGCCCTCCTCCGTCTTACCTCAGCCCACAGGTATAACGTCTGTGCTGAAATAAATACAGAGATTGACTAACTGATATTGCTAGCTGCCTAAGAAGTGAAGGCAAATCTTCCCAATGGAACAAATGGATGGCAAATAAATACCATAGTTTTACATATTCCCTAGTGCAAATTCCCTAGTTTTCATGAAAAAACATTTTGACTTTCGATGCACTTTAAACATGCAGATAACCGACGCATATTTCCACCTTTGCGGTGGTATTTAAAAAAAGAAAAACATGCCAGCAATGTACACCAAGCATACTAGAAGCAGACACATGCAGTTGCTGTATATGAACACAGAAACTTGCTTTTGTTTTGTCCTTCATCCCTTCCTTCATCTCCTTTTGAAATGGCCACCACTGTCCCTTGCAAGCAGTCTGTGCATATTAACACTCTTTCTGAGCTCTCTCCCACGGATCATTAGTATTCATAGGGGCAACCCTCCCCAGGACAGTGCATTATGACTTGCAAAGGCAGAGCTAGTGTGTAGTGATCTTGGTAGTGACTCACAGGGAGGGGTCAGCTGCTTTACAGTGTCAGTCTGAGTATCCTGTGGACAAAAATTGTCAATTTGTAGGACTCAGGCCTACTAAAGTCCATTAAAAAAACAAACCAGAAAGCCTGCAATGCAAGTCATGAAAATGTATACACATATACATCATCACTGCACCTCTACAGTACTACAATAATTGCTAATCACATACCAAGGTGGAAGTCGTAAACATCTGTAATTAATCAGTACTGTACGACTTGTAGTTTTATATATTTTTTTTTGGTGTGGACTACTTAGAAACATAATAAGCTGACCTTTTATTTAAAAAAAAAAAAAGATTTGACTTTTAATGTCTCTTTAACCTTCCTGGTGGTATTCCCGAGTCTGGCTCGGGGTTACTTTTCAGTACTAAGAGCGGTAACCCCGAGCCAGACTCGGGAATGCACAGAAAAGTGTCACTTACCTTGTCCATGCGAGCCCGCGGTGTCCATTGCTGTACATGCGGTGGCCGATGCCGGCATCTGACTTTTAGTTTCGTTTTCGGGCGTCACAGCCGGCGGGAAAATCAAAAGTGAAAAGTTGCAATGTACACAGGATACACACAATACAATGTAATCTGCTATGATTACACTTATGTATCAAACTATTTCACTTCAATTTTGTCCAGTGCCCTGCCTGACCCTTTTTCACAATTATAAGAAATTGTAATATAATAATGAAAAAAATGGTCCAATAAATGGGAATTCTGGGGGCGTTGCCTGATACGTACCACAGTCAATAGAGTACCAAGTTCGCACATCACTGAGCTCGGGCGCAGAATCGTCGCTGTCTTTACTTTCAGTGTCTGTTGAGGAATTTCCCAACGAATCGCTATCGCTCAATTCTGCAAGCGTTTCTAATTTACTATCGCTGTTTTCTACCTGGTCTAAAACTGATTTTGACCTAAAACAGCGGCGATTCTGCGACTAAGCTCAGTGATGTGCGAACTTGGTACTCTATTGACTGTGGTACGGATCAGGCTGCGCCCCCAGAATTCCCATTTACTGGACCATTTTTTTTATT